ATATATATATATATATATATATATATATATATATATATATATATATATGCACGTGTGTCCATAGGCGTCTACTCACGCCCATTGCATTTGCTTGTTTACCATCCACTATTTGCTGCATTTTCTCGTTCGTCTATGGTTATTCATTGCATTTGTTCGCTTTTCATTCCTCGTTGCTTTTGCCTGTCTCTCACCATTTGTTACGTTGGTCTGTATATCATTATTTGTTGGATTTGTCTGTTTATCATTATTCGTGCATATGCTTGTCTATCACTATTTGCTGCACTTGTTCGTTGCATTTGTTTGCCTAGAGTTTCCCCATTATTTGTTTCGTTCATTAGTCGTTGTCTGGTGCATGCCTATATATATATATATATTATATATATATATATATTATATTTGTTCAACTTATTGGCTTGGCAATTGTTGTTGTTCATATATATACACCCTAAACCACGAACGCTCTGGGGCGTTCAGGAGACACCAGCAGCAACTCCCACTGCTGCTGCATTTGCTGCTGCTGCTCACTTCACCTTTGCTTCTTGGCGTGTAGAGACAGAAGGACCCAGAGAGGAGACAGAAAAACAGAGATGTCTACAGGCTAGCTAGCGGCACCCTTAGGGGTTGCTGGCCATAGAAATAGACGGCCCGTAAACCCTAAACACTAAATCCTTTTGAACGGCTACAGCACTCAGCCCCACCCTGCTGCACGTACACCCCAGGAAGGCGAGACGGATCGGCATGCCGCTAAGAGAGGCAGACACCACACGGTAGCCGAGGACAATAGTAGGCAGCAGACAAACAAAGGCAGAAAAAAAGATAGAGATGGAGACACCGGGACTGAAAGAAGGAAACGGATGAGGAGATTGGCAAAGACGCGTGCAAGTGCTGTTGCTAAATAATAAGATAAAAAGCTAGGGGCAAGATATACCAAACAGGAGACAGCAGGAGATAGGAGACAGCGCTGTCTTGCGGAGCCCTCACACTAAGACAGAGGGCGGGAAAGGCTGCATACAGACAGGGAGGCAGGGAAAGGCAGAAACAGAGACAAAGGAACGAGCAGAGGGGGAGAGGACGACGATGTGTCTCTAATAAGTTATTTCTGTCTCCAACCTGAAAACACCCTACAAGTGCATGCAAGAGGTTCGCATGTGCATATGCATGTGCGTGTGTGTTTATTAGAATTGTTTTTTGTCTGCCTTTGAGCAATCGTTTGTTCTTTTCGCGTTTTGTTTGTTGCCGATACGACGGCTGCGCCCGCTGAAGCTGCTCTACAGCAAAAGAGACGCTTCTCTTCAATACCCTCGCTGCTGCTGCTGCTGCTGCGAGGGATAAGGAGGATTCAAAGCCGGCAGAGACCGCTGGCCGACTTTGTGCAAAAACTCCGAAGCCGTGAGCGGGAGACTCGACACTCTGTCTTCTGTCAGCATTGCAAAGAACCTAAAAAAACAAGAAGAGCAGCAAACGAAATAACCCCCACCATTATATAACAATTAAAACCAATTAATAAATAATAAAATACAAAGAATGAATGAAACGCCTGCTAATGGACACAACTAACAGCACACGAAACAACCAAGTACACACAGCCGGTGAGGCTCCTGCTGAGAACAAACACTGAACAGGAAACAAAACTATCGAGAGCTCCTCATCCTGGAAAGAGAACAGAGACGGTGACAAACAACACCAACAACAAGGAAGCGGAGACAGAGAGAGAGAGAGAGAGAGAGAGAGAGAGAGAGAGAGAGAGAGAGAGATAAAAGCGGACGCGAGTAGAGAAGGGGAGAGACAGGAGAGAGGAGACAGACAGAGACGGAGAAATGCAAGAGGAGACACAAGGGGGCAATAGGGGACCATGAGAGAGGCGCGAAGGAGAGTGAGATAAGAAGAGAAACGCACAGCTGCTCGCTGCTGTCTCCTTGCCGCAAAATCTTCAGCTGCATGTAATCGGGCTGCAACCGCTGCAACCGCAGCTCGCGGATGACAGCCAAAGTTCGAAGGCCCAACGGGGTGTCTGTACACCCTAGCGACTGCGCTGCTGCCTCCGGGTGCAAGTATTCATATGAAGCAACCCCAAAAACAGACTGCAACCAATCCGGAGACACAGACCTGAAAATACAAGCAGCACAAAGCAGCAGCGACGCCAGCAGCAGCAGCAGCATCAGCAGCAACAGCAGCACGGATCAGCGAGCATGAAGTCTGTGGGTGTTGTCTGGGTGTCTATTTCTCACTGTTGATCCTCGTATAGATGGTGATGCATTGGTGGGGTTGTTGTTTATTTGACTTGAAAGTCGTATAGACAGAAGGTGATGTAAATATCGGATTGTTGATAAGTGTTGCATGCAATTCGTATTGATAGAAAGTAATGGTGGGGTTGTTGTTGGAGCGTATTGTATTGGTGGGGTTGTTGTGTTTGTTGCGCATACTTTCCAATCCAGAGGAGCATTTGTTCTCCGTTTTCAAGCAGATAAGCGGCTTGCTGAGTCATCACTTCGCTGGTGAGTGGCAGCGCGCTGGGCAGCAGCACGCAGCCCTGTGGATCAACAGAACCTTCACTGTCTCCCCAGTCGGTTAAACAGAACAAACGAGGAGATAAATACACCACCACTTGGCTCAAACTCGCCCAAGACAAACGGTGGAAACAATACACCCGCATGTCGCTCGTCACTGCAAACAAACACGCACACAAACGCATATATGTATGTTATATGCATATATAAATATATATATATATATATATATCCAACCACCCATACATGCATACAAATACACATGTTGCCGCTTGCACTTAAGTTTAGATTTGTGTTTACATTGGTACTTGTATTCTGGTTTAGGTATGGGTTTTGAATACACTTGTCTCTATGCTGGCAACTGTAATTAAATTCGTATTTAGGGCTGTATTTAAAATTATACTTATTTCCTTGTTTATTCAATTGGTGCGTTTGTGCACGTCCTTCAGAATGGCTTATGATACAATTCTCGCACTCATTGCCGTCATCATAATCGCAACAATAACAAACAATAAGTATAGACAAAAAGCATACACAATAATAATAAAACTATTAATAGTTAAATAATAGTAACATTACTAGCAACAAAAATATGCACAAACAACAATGATAAATACAATAAACACTGAACAAAACTAAAAAACAACAAGCGCAGTGCAATCACACACCCTAATCATAACCCCTCCTACACCCTAGACCCTACCGTCTTTGGTGTTGCGGAAAGCAGCGGATTTGAGGATTCCCATGACGAGGTATCCGAGTCGTTTGAGTTGTTCAGCATTGTTTGCGGGGGGCGTTGCTGCAGCAGCAGCAGCAGCTGCTGCTGCTGCTGCTGCAGCAACGGGCCCGTAGGGCGCAGTGCAGTGCCCTGCTGGCAGCTGCAGCGCCGCCATCAATTGGACGCACAAATTCTGGAGGTACGCGCGGCCGTCAGCAACTTTTGCTCGTAATGACTGCAGAAAGAGGAAGAGAAGTGCAACAAATAAACAAACAAGAATAAATAGATACCTCACGAAACACATCCAAGCAAATCTTCAGGTAGGCCAAGCATACATACAAATATAAATTCAAATATAAATACTAATATAAAAAAAATACACATAGAAAGCCTAGTACAAGTATCAATACCAACACCGGCACAAGCATAATGACTAACATGAATATAAATCTAAATACAGATAAATACAAACATAAATGCATGTAAAAATACAAATACATGTACAAAAGCCAATATACAAACACCAATACAACTCCCAGCACAAACCTAAATGCAAATACAAATCGAAATGTAACGTAAATACAAAAGAAAGCAAATACAGAGACAAACTGCAACACTTGCATACTGACGCTACAAATATAAACGAACACGAATAGTAACAAGCACAAACACCAACAAAGACAAACCCAAAAGCAAGCATAAATACAAATGCAAATGCCAATGCATGCATTTGTATGCATGCACTTGCCAGGTCGAGGGCGTGCTGCAACATCAAGGCCGCGGTGACTTCTGGGTCTATGGTTGCAGCGATCTCCTGCAAGCCCCAAACACATGCAGAGCACAAGCCCCCAATGCATGCACCACCTCTGCCGCTCTCTTGTCTCCTTTTCTTACCGCTGTCTGCCTATGTCTGTCTGTCTGTCTCTGTCTTTCTATTTCTATCTAGTTTTCTCTGTATTTCCCTGTCTCTCTTCATGTCGCTATGTCTATCTCCCTAGATCTGTGTTCGTCTCAACTTATCTGCATGTGTCGCACTATGTCTCTCTTCATTTGTGCATATCTTTCTGTGTCTTTGTTTTGTCCTCTTGTCCGCCTTTATATATTCTACTACGCCCATGCATGCATGAAAGCATGCAAGCATGCATGCACGCATGTAGACGTATGCATACGCACACGCATGTGTTTTACTTTTTCCGGTCATTTACTGCTGAATGGAACTGCGCTAATTATCTATACTAAACTATTATTCTATCCACTTACTTGCGACAAATCAATTAATTAATCGGTTAAATATAACAATTTAACTTAATGCAATTAATTTAAATGCACGCTTTTCTGCTTCACGACTGGGTGAGTCTGACTAATCTAACTAACTAGTTAATTGGAGTATTATTTAAACTCTCGATTGATTGATTGGGTTTTTAAAATTAATTATGTAATTAAATTATTTAATAAATTTTTATTCACCTGAATGTTCTGTGTAAGAGGGAGAGCGACCGTATGGACTCTAATTCTTCTTTCTCCGTCACTGTGTGTATACAGCAGAGCAACTTGTAGAGAAAGGAGACAGTCTCCTGATGCAGCTCCTGCTGCTTCATCAGGCTCAAGAGACACTGTAAATGTCTGATCTTCATGTACAGTTGGAAGCACAAACAGATCCGCGCCACGCAAATAAAAACGCCCGTGACGCTCGCACACTTTCCATCCCCGCGACACCCGCACCCGCATCACTGCTTCCCATCTGCATGCAAAACAGAACACAAAAGGCTCAACAATGATGCAAATAAATACAACAAAATGCAGCTTCAAGCAACAACAACAACAAACAGATACAACACATTAACGCCCCCACCCCTGCCTCTGCGAGAGAAGCTGCAACAAATGCCGCTGCCTGCAACGCTCTTGCGGTGTATGGACATCTCGCATGAAAGCATGCATGAATGCATCTGTTCCCCATGCATGCACGCGGCCCTCTATCTCTTGGGGCTGTGTCCTCAGTTTCGCCACTCACCCCGTAACCCTAGAGAGGACGCGATCGACCTCCGCCTGCAGTTTGTCTTGGTATAGCTCACGAGAGAACCCGGGATAATACCGCAGTTCTCCTGAAGTAAATTGAGCTAGGGAAGCATAAGACGCCAAGTCAAAGGAAGAACAACCCCCAACCCCACCACCGCCGCTCGCAGGCACGCGGGGGGCCCCAGGTGGGGCCCCGGGGGCCCCACCTTGGGGGCCCCCACCTGACGGAGCGTAGTAGGGGTTGTCTACGCTGGAGGCGGTTGGGTATGCCGGAGGGCATAAGAACATATCAACAGACAGCTGAGACTGAGTCAGCTGCTGCCCTAGTGTCTATACACCGCAGCAGCACATACCAACGCATCAAAAGACATAAAAAAGAAGCAACTGATGGAGGTGAAAGAAGAGAAAGAAAGCGACGCACCGAAAGAGACAGATAAAGAAACACAAAACGACAAAGACAGAGTGAGATAGACAAGAAGAAAAAGAGACAGGGACAGAGACAAAGCGACAGAGACACGGATGAAGACAGAGAAACGGAGACACAGACAGAGAGACAGAAACAAAGACAGAGAAACAGAGAGACAGCGGCCAACACAGACACAGACAACAGAGACAGAGACAAGTAGAGAGGAAAACACAGTCAGTGCGACACAGACGGAGAGACGGAGACGAAGACAGAGATATCGACAGAGACAGAGCATACTTGATACGTTTCTGCTGCAGGCTTGAGAAGGTCGTTGTCTCTTTCACCCTGGCCTTGTCCTCCCTTGTCTCTGTTCATTTCTCTCCTTACAACTCCCTCCCCAACAGTCGGTGGCGAAGAAGCAAAAAGCAGTATCTTCCCCCCCACATGCTTAGCTACCATTGCAGCCGCACGCACGGCGCTGCCCTGCAAATGCACAGACACATACACAATCGCAGTAGCAGCAGGTGCAGCAGCAGGTGCAGCAGCAGATGCAGCAGCGGATGCCACAGCAGATGCAGCAGATGCAGAAGCAAGAGCAACAAACCACGCACAGCAACAAGAACAAGCAGCAGCAGATGTAGCAGAACACAGAGCATAGAAACAACAGTAACAACAACAAAAAGGAGGCAGGAGCAAGCACACGAAGAGCATAAGACAGTAACGAAAAGAAGCAGCAACTAAAAAAAAATCCGTACAGCAGCAACAACTGCAGCAACACCACCAGCAGGCAGGGGGGGGGATAATGCAGCAGCAGCAAGCCAGCACGTACAATATATGTATATACATAATATATAGGTATATGTATAAATATATATGCATATATACATATATATATATGCAACTATGCAGGAATGCAAGCATGGAGGAAGAACAGCAGGAGAAAGCAAGTGACTATACAGCAGAGGAGACAATATAAAAACAACATATTGCGTAATATATTACTATTAAATATACATAATAAACAGGTACGCAGGCAAGGGAGCAAGTAGAAGACGATGGAAGTGAAGAGGAGAACAAGAAGAGGGGTATAGCTTAGCTTACTAAGCAGTTATCAGTACACTCGTTTGCTCTCCATATATCAGGTATGGCATTAAGGGTATTAAGAATAGCTTCTTTGCATTCTTGAAGAGGGACGAAGAGGTTTTCTGCTAAAGGGAGGAATATCTCTTCTACTTGAGGCACAACAAACAACTGAGGGCGAGTCTGGCTAGCATCTAAGCGATAGAAATGCACGCTGCTGTCGTAAGTTAAGACAGCAGCAAGTGCTCTGCTGTCTCCTGGGAGCCTATCTGCAGCAATAGAAGCAGCAATGCTGCTGCATGCAGCAGCAGGAAGCCCCGCTGCTACAGCTTGGTGTGAGACATCTATTAAAAACACAAATGCAGGAGGCTGAGGAGGGCGAATCATATAATCTCCAGGGGCAATGATTTCAAAAGAACCTCTCGAAAGCTCCGGTCTCTCTGCTGCATCTTCTCTTCTTCCTTTTGCGTCTATAGGAGCGCAATAAAACTGTGGTGTCTCGTTGCTCACCCCACACATATTGCACACCCACCTCCTCCCATTCGCCTCCCAGGTGACAAATGCATTAACATATGTTCTGCACCGTCTGCAACGAATTACTAGACCCGAACCGAAAGAAATACGAGGTACAGAAGCAGCACCAGGGCCTAACGAAGCGAGCGGCTGCAGCACAACCCCTAAAGGCAAATGGCATTTGTGTCTGAGGGAGCTGCTGCTGGGGATACGCCATACAGAAGGCCGTACAAATGCTGCTGGAGCGTTTAGCTGCAACAAATCCTCCGCCTGCTGCTGAGATACACCTTCCTGCTGCTGCTGCGCTGCTGCTGCTGCTGCTGCTGCTGCAGGGTAATACGAAGAACGCCCTCCCGCTGCTCCCCCCCCTGGACCTACACCACCTAAAGACCCGCTACCTTGTCTTAATACCCCCATCATATATCCCCCAGGCCCAGACTGCTGCACAGGTGCAAGTGGCTCTTGCTGCTGCACAGGAGGAGGCATGTAGCAAGCCTGCTGCTGCTGCGGCGGACCCTGCTGGTGCTGCTGAGGAGCAGCAGCAAACGGAGCAGAAGGCGCTGGCATATACCGACCTCCCGGTGCTGCCTGCTGCTGTTGCTGTTGCGGAGGCAGCGGCGGCGGCTGCTGCGGGTAGGAAGGAGCCGCTTGCTGCACGGGCGGCGGTGGCGCATGCATTTGCCCCGGATACATAGGCTGCTGCTGCTGCTGCGGCTGTTGCGGCTGTGAAAACGGCATTTGCTGTGGGTATTGCTGCGCTGTGGACGCTGCGTCTTGGCCGTAGTAGCCAGCCATCGCGGCGGGGGCCCCGGGGGTCCCTGCAGGGGCCCCTGGGCCCCCAGGGGGGGCCTGGGGCCCCGGAGGGCCCCCTCCAATGGCGTTGCCGTAGGGAGCCTTAGCAGGAGTTGCGTTATTCGGGTAGAAGCCCTGAGAGAAGCCGTTGCTGTGGGGCGGGGCGGAGGGGTAGTTGGGGGCGTAGCCGCCGGCTGTGGCCCCCAGTCCTCTGGAGGGCTGCATGATGGGGGGTGCCTTTGTTTTGTTTTACTGGTTTTGTTTAGGAGAGGGAGACGATGCGGGAAAGAATAAGAACACGAGAACGCCCCGAGACCGTAGTAAAAAGAAAGCGCAGCGGAGAGAAGAGGAAGACGAGGAAGCAGGAGGGCGGCGTCGGCTGCGGAAGTTCGGGGTTATAGAGAAAAGAGAAAAGAAGAAAGAATAGGAAAAAGACAAACGGGAGAAGAAAGAGAGAGCCAGACAGGAAACAGAGAAGGAGGGCAGGCAGACAGCTCAGGAGCGGCGAACCCCCTTAACGAGGCAACTGCAGCTGCAGCAAAGTTGCAGTTTCAATAGTTGTGGGGTATAGAAAAACAGAAAACAATATGCAGCATAAATAATGCCGCCACAGCTGAGGTGTATGTACACTGCAACACAAGACGCTCCTCCGTCCACAAGGGACGCCGGACCGCGAGACGGAGGCGGCGGGCAGCAACAGCAGTTATATTCGAGTGTACGTACACCTCAACTTTACGAAACAACTCGAAAGACGCATGCAACGCTATTTAGCAACAGAGACAAACAAACCCCTAAAACCAGCGGGGCCTGCAGCGCTCAACCAGCGGCCGCCTCCGCCCGGGACAGCAGCAGCAGCAGCAGCAGCTGCTGCTGCTGCTGCTGCTGTCGCCAGATATCTTTATTGTTATTTATATATAAAATATATCAACACTTCCTCGCGTAGAAGAAAATGGCTCCGTTACCGCTCGCCCAGTACACTGCTACACTCAGGTCGTAGGGGACTCAAGCCAGGAGAGCGACAGGCAGTCTATAAACCCTAAACCCTAAACGCTAAACCCTTAACCCTAGACTCTAACAGCACAAACGCAATTCAAACGTTGCCTTCCCTCATCCTGCTGTAAATTGCAGGCCTTAGAAGAGGCAAGGGGGGCGCACAGACTCCAGAGGCAGTAGAGGGTTTAGAGCGTTAGGATTTAGGGCGTTAGGGTTTAGGTTTAGGGTTTTCTTTTACTTCTTTTTTGCTGTTCTTTTAGTGCTTAAGTGACCTAGTAAAAGGCAGTTTGTCCTGTTGAAGCTGCAAACCTAACGGGCGCTGCCGTCTTTCCCCAGAGGGAAAGGAGTCCTGTAGAGCTGCTCTTATTGAGCAACATAGCAAACCCTAAACCCCCATGTGCAGTATGGGGCGGCATGTCTGTACACCCCATCTCTTTAAACACCAGAGCGGCTCTGAGGCCCTTACCGTCGGCTCTCCAGACAGTTCTGTTTCCTCGATAGATTGAGCAGTGGGTACTAGAAGTTTAGAGGATTCACTCTCTCTTGGTTATAGGAGGAGCCATCTGCTTGCACATGCATGCACATGCACTCCCTTAGGGGGCTGGCAAGCATTAGGTGCCCAAGAGACGTTGCTCGGCGTGCGTGTATCTACGCTTCACTGGATGCTGTTCAATGCGCAACCAGTGTAAACAACTCCCTTCGCGAGGCCTAGGGTTTAGGGTTTAGGGTTTGGGGAGGGAACTCCTTGTCTTGCCTGTGCAGTTGCTCTCTAACTTCCGCCTTTTATCTAGGGTGTAGGACTTAGGGTTACGAGGGTTTTGTGGTGTTGACGGTTTTGGCGTTTGAATAGCAAACCCTAACTCTCTTAGGCTTCTCTGAAGACCCGCCCACGGTTTAGGGTTTAGGGTTTTGTCTTCGCTCTACCTCCCTCACTTTTTGCTGAAGGTTTAGGCTGCCTATCTCCTAGTGTATATACTCTATCTGTCTCCTCGTATGCATGTGTCTGTCTGTCCCTTTGCGTGTATATTGCATGCATGATTTAATGAGTGTCTCCTCCTACCCACTTACAGGTGGGGGCCCGTTTTGCGTTGTCTCCTTTTTTTGTTTGCTGCTCGCAGCTTGAGATTAGCTGGGTGAGTTGAATATATCCTTCTGTCTTTACATGGTTGATGTTGCTGCATTATAAATAAATAGAATCTTAGTTTTAAAAGATGGATAGAGAAATAGAGATACAGCTTTTGCCTCCTCAGCAGCTTCAAATAAAGGCAAAAGGCTAAGCCTGCTTTTCTAGGGCCTCCCGCAAACGTTGCTGCGCTGCTGCAGCCTCGCGCTGCTGGCGGTTGAACTCGAACCCAAGAAAACGAAAATCTGTCTTCCATGTTGCTGCTGTAGAGACACCTGCAAATCCAGCTGTTTCCTTTATACAAGCCGGCCCTATTCCCACCCCCGCAGCAGCATCAGCAGCAGGAGACTCTGGAAGGAGACCCCAAGATGCTGCAGCAGGTGACGATGGACGCGGGGCAAATGAGACAGAAGAAGAGGAGACAGGGGACTCCGAGAAGACAGGAAGTGTTAACGAGTCAGGAGACTGCCCTGGGTTTACTTTCGTGTTACTGGTTTGAAGCTGCATGCGCGTCCGCCTTCCGTTCGCTGAGGAATTCTTTTCAGTTGCCTCAGAAGAGACAGGCGTCTCCTGTGAGGAGACACTTTTGCTGTGCTGCTGTGCCGAAGATTCCTGCACCGCAGGACAATCGCTGCCGTTGCTGCCGTTGCTGCTGTTGCTGCTGTTGCTGCCGCTTGTACTGATGTTTGTATTCCCGCCCGTGTTGCAGCTGTTGGCGCTCGTGTCGCTGCTGTTGCTGCGCCTACTACTATTTCTGTTGCTGGTGTTGCTGCTGCTGCTTGTATTTCCCTTTCCGTTGCTGCTTGTGCTGCTGCTTCTGTTGCTGCCGCTGAGAATGGGGAACGGAGGAGAGGAAGGAGACACTGGGTCCTTGCTTGATGAGGTGTCCCTGCACATCCAGGGGTGTCTTCTGATATCTCTGTACTCAAAGCGCTTCTCCTGTGCACACAGCAGATTCCGTAAGAAGTCTACTGCCTCCAGTGAGACAGCTGGCTGCCGCTGCTGCTGTTGCTGCTCCTGCTCCTGTTGCTGCTGCTGGTGTCTCTTGCTGTCTCTCTGTTGATTACAGGCTCCACTGCTAGTCATAACAAAGGGCGGAGGCGGCAGGACGATAAAGTCCTCAAATTGTCGCAGCATGCACAACACTAACTCCGGGTTATTCACCACCTCCCCTGCTGCAGCACTTGCTGCTGCAGCATTTGCTGCTGCAGCGGTTGCTGCTGCTACGTCTGCTGTTGCTGCTGCTGTGTCCGCCTCTGCATCTATTGTTGTTGTTGCTGCGTCTGCGTCTGCTGCTGTTGCTGCTTGGTCTGCTGCTGCTTTTGCGGCGTTTGCGTCTGCGTCTGCTGCTGCGTATGTTGCTGCTGCTGCGTTGGCTGATTGGCATTCTTTCCGGTTGTTACTCTGCTGCATGCCTTCATTATCGCGAGCCCAATGGCCTTTTGCCTTTAACGAGAAACGCCCTAATGGAGGAAACCCAAAGAGGCATTCATACACCACAGCGCCGAAACTCCACCAGTCAGCCTTCATTAACCCCTCAAGCGAATCCTGCTCAGTAGCCTCCATACATTCTTCGTGGGTGCCCCAGAGGGGCCCCTTGATGGGCATTTCGGTGGGCCCTCCGGGGAGATTCTCTCGAGACTCCTCCTGGGGCCCCTCACGAGGCTCCTTCTGGGGCCCCTCACCAGGAATCTCCCCCTCGGGCCCCTCAGGAGGCTCCTCCTGGGGCCCCTTAAAAGGGTCTTTCTGGGACTCTGGGGGCCTTCCTGAGGGTTCCTCTGGGGGCCCCTCTGAGGGCCCCTCTGAGGGCCTTTTTGGGGTGCCCTCTGGGGGCCCCTCTGGGAGCCTCGGTGGGGGCCACTTCGGGGGCACCTGTGTTTCCTCTTCTTGAGCATCCTCTTGGGGCCTTCGTTGTGGCTGCAGGGGGCTCCTTTGGGGGCCCCCTTGCTGCGGACGTTGGATAGCTGGTTGGGTTTCCTCCGGGTCTTTTTGTTGGTTTGTGCATTTAGGGTGTCTTAGAGGCCCCCCTAGAGCGACCTCTGGGGCCATATAGTGGAGGGTACCGACAGCAGATCCCTCATCTGTGTGTAGGAGTTGCTGAAGGCGCCAGCTAGCAAACGAGGGGGGCCCCTCTGAGCTGCATGATGTGCTTGCGTCACCTGGAGAGCTTCGGGGGCCCCCAAAGATGCAGCATGAGGTCCCCTTACCCCACTCCGGTGTGTTTACAGCGTGCACGTGAAGGCAGCAGCGGCTGCTGCTGCCGGGGGCCCCCTGTAGGGCCCCTCGCAGTGTCTCGCAAGAGGCTTCAGGGCTGAGGGCCCCCTCCGGGTGTTGCTGCGTTGCTGTGGGGGACCCCCCTAGCGTAGCTGTTGCTGTGTGTTGAGATGAACGCCGCCGTTGCTGCGCATGCGAAGGGGGTGGCGCTGCTGCCAGCCCCATGTCCATAAGGCGCAGTTGGTTTGTCTTATCAACAATAATATTTTCAGGTTTTATGTCTCGGTGTAGAAAGCCAAGAAGGTGTACTGCATGCACAGCCTCCGCCAGCTGAGCAGCGAAAAACCGCGCTTCTGTTTCCTCTAGGGAGCCCTTCTGCTGCAGCAGGGCCCGAAGCGTCTGCCCCTCCACATACTCCTGCAGCAAGAACAAACGCTTCTCGTCTTGGAAGGCCGCATGCAGCCTCACCAGGTGCCTAGACACCTCGCCGTGCATCAGCAGGTGGCGCTCCGCGTACCGCCGAGCGCATGCAACGTGGAGGTCTTCTTTGGGGCTTTCCTTCGCTATTACCTTCAAAGCAAACATCTTATTGCTACCCTTTTGTCTCACTCTCCATACAGACCCACTCGCTCCTTCCCCCAACAACTCCACAACCTCCAGTTGTCTTCGCAGCAGCCGCAGCCGCTGCGGCCCCAGCAGCTGCTGCCGTTGCAGCGATGCAGCGTAACTCAACAAACTCCTACGCTTGACAAAACCTATGCCCGAACTCCTCCTGCTGCTGCTGCTGCTGTTGCTGCTGCTGGTGTTGCTGCCTCGGCGCCCCACAAAAGACACGCGCCGACAGATACTCCGCCGCACACGAGACCCACGTGCGGCATCTGCAGCAGCAGCACCGCCGCCTGCTGCTGCTGCTTCTGCTGACGCTGCTGCTTTTGGTGCTGGTGCCGCTGTATCCCTACCCCACTTCCACCGGTACGATTTGGTGCGAAGGGGCCTCGAGGAAGCTGCCGGTTCGTGCTTCTTGTGCTGCTCTGCTTGCTGCTGCAGCGGGGCGCTTCCCCGGGACCCTAAGGTCCCCTCGTTACCACTAACTGAAGCACCCACCACCTCGTGCTGCTGTTGCTGCTGCTGTTGCTGCTGCTGTTGTTGCTGTTGCTGCGCGCGTCGTATGAGTGCCATGAGACTCTGCCTGCGTCTCCTTTCGAACTCCTGTCGTTTCCTTCTCAGGAGGACTGCAGCTTTAAACATCTCCAACTTCTTCTCGACGCTGAAGCTTGAAGCAGCAGCAGCAGTAGCATCTACGCCTGCTGCTGGTGTTCTTGCTGCTGCACCTGTTGGTGTTCTGCCTTGTTGAGGGTCTGTTGACGGCAGGCCTGCGGAGTCCTTCGCTGCTGCTGCTGCCGGTGTTGGTGTTGCCTCTCCCGTTAGTATTGCTGCAGGGGCAAGCAGGTCCTTTACGCCTGGTTCGGCGGAGAATATTGCTTCCTTCAGCTGAAGGAATTTTTGGCGTATGCTTTGTTTGTGTTTGTGCTGTGTTGGCTGTGGTTTGCTTCCGCATGCGGCTGCCTGACGCTGCAGCCACCGCTCCAGAAGACTGTTGGGAGCCGCAGAGCCTTCCTCCTGCGACGCAGCAGACTGCCGCTTCCACGCACAACCAGTGGGTGGTAGCGAGATAGGTGAGGCACTTGGGTTTTCCGTCATTCTTGAGGTGTAAGTGCACAGCAAACACACACGCACACGCACACACACACACACACACACCGTCGTAGAGAAACAGGCACTAGCCGCGGGATATAGTGCTCTATAGTTTTAAGTTTAGAATTGTGCTTCTGAATTTTTGTTGCAATTGTTGGGATTTCTTTAGTAGGCGTGTCAGGGCTCGAGCTGAGTTTTGTCTTCTGCTGTCGGCAGTGAGCACTCGTGGGTCGGTGTGCGGAGTATTATTTGAATTGTCAGGGAGTATATTGACAGAATTAAGTCAAAAGAGTTATTCATGGATTCTTTTATTGGCATTGATAAACATAAAGGATCTTATAGAGGGAAATATACTAACTCAACAGCCAGTCGGCTGCAGGGGTACCGCAGCCGACGCTGCAACCTTGCCAAGTATCGCAGGCTTCCTCACCAAACATCCTCGCTATTTATAACTAAAAATATTTAATTTATTTAGATTAATATTCTTTGTTTAATGCTCTTAACAACTTCGCCGCTTGCTTGTGTTAGCAGCTGCTACCCAATGGCACCTGCGTTTACAGAGGGCCCCCCACGAGCAAGGGGCCCCCACAAGGACCCAGCAGCAGCTCGGCTCCTCTCTCCCCCTTCATACCCTTTTTATGTATTTGAAAAAACTAAGTATTATTTAATAGACCTCCATTTATCTGATTTCCTTCGGGGCTACGTTGAAGATCTCTCTTGAACTCCCTCCAGCATGTGGGGCCTCGAGGGCCCCCTCAACCGTATCTCCTGGTAGACAGCAGTCTGCAGGGCCTCTCAGCGGAGCTGTCGTTGAGGTGTACATACACCCGAGACTGGCAGCTGCAGACGGTTACAAGGGCCCTGGGCTGCCTTGCCGCCCTGCCTTCTCGGTGCTCCAGCACCGTTGGCCTGCAGGCAAATGAACTAATCTGCATGCAGCCCCAAACGACAAGTTGTCCCTCGCGGCTAAACGGGGGCCCCTGGGGGCCCCATGCCAGCCGCTGCATGCAGCAGAAATGATGCAACGTAGACCGAAGGAGCCCTTGCTGCAGGAGCAGCAGCAGCAGCAGCAGCGGCAGCTGCAGCACGGGTGGAGTTTGCACTTCTTGGTGCTCTTGCTGCAGCTTGTGTTGCTGGCGCTGCTGCTTCTGATAAGGCCTGTGGGATGTACAGCCCTTCAGGCCCCCTGTCCCGGTTTTTGTGTCTCCGGCTGCTCTTCCCTGTCTCCTTCATCTCTCCATGGGGCCTCTTTAAGACATTTCCTCCCAGCCGATGCAACTCGCAATTGTTTGGGTGTCTGTAAGGGCCATTATGCATGCAGAGAAACTAACGTTAGGGGCCCCCAGGCTCCCCCAGGTGTACGTACTCCAGCGCGGACTCTCCCTAGCCAATATGCTGCTGCCGCTGCTGCTGCTTCAGCTGCTGCTGCTGCGGCTGGGCCTGGGGGTGAACGAAGGCCTTCTCAGTCAGGCGTGGAGGGACCTGCATGCGCCAAAGATGGGGCTGCATGCGCTGCTCTGCCTGTCAGCCCAGCCAGCGGACTAGAGCAGCAGCCGCAAGAAGGAAAGAAGGGGCCTCCTCCAAGGCCTCCAGCAGCGAGGAGTCGAGGAGTTAGGGGGCCCCCGCCTGTGCATACAGGAGGGGTCCCCTCAGGGGGACCCCTGCCAACACCCCCCAGAGACGCCCCCCCAAGGGAGCCCCTACCTGCACACCCGAGAGAGGCCCCCCAAAAAGAGGCCTTATCTTTACACTCCTCGAAAGCAGCAGGGCAGCTTCCTCTTGTGCGTTTCAGTGCATGCAGCCCCAAACCACACTGCAGGGAGACAAGCGGTCTCTCTCAGCAAGAAAGTGTTCCCGTTTTCCTTCGGTCTAGCGCTTACTGACCATGGTTTAGGAATTACGGTTTAGGGTTTAGGGTTTAGGGCTTGGCGCTGGGTGTCATGCGCAGGCTGCTCCCTCTGCTAATCTGTCCAGAGCTCCAAAGAAGATGCAGCAGCAGCGCAGAAGCATGAACCTCGGGGATCAGCAGCAGCAACAACAGCAACAGCAGCCGCAGCAGCAGCAAACGAGGCAGCAGAGACAGCAGCAGCCACAGCAACTTGCGGCTGCTAGAAGGGGACCAAGAACCAAACAGCAGCAGCTCGATCCGCGGCAGCAGCAGCAACAGCAGCAACAGCACCAGCAGAGAGGGCTGTCACAGCGGCACCAACCAGCCCAGCAGCATCCGATGCCGCCGCCTCCGCAGCAGCAGCAGCAACGGCAGCAGCCGCAACAGCCCCCTCAGCTCAAACCGCATCCCTATCAGCAGCAGCGACAGCAGCAGCAACAGCAACAGCAGCAACAACAACAGCAGCAGCACCACCAAGGCTCGGCCGCGAGCGGAGGCCTTTCTGACGACATTCTAGATCTTGTCTTTTGGCTGCGGGACACAAGACATCCCTTAGAAGGTGGGTATGGAGGTGCACGTACACCTCAAGCGCCTGTTCAACAATCCAGGTGTCTCTTGCATGCAACCCTTGGCTTGAAGGGCTCCCCCTGGCTCATCCCTGCTGGTGCTGCTGCTGCTGAGCTCTACTCGAGGCTAGAAGGGAAGGACGAGGCAGTTTAGGGAGGGCATTGTTTGGGGTATGCTTCAGTATGCTTGAGCATCGGCTTCGATGGTTTAGGGTTTAGAGCTTAGGGCTTAGGGTTTGTGGTGTGCAGCTAGGGCGTTGTGTTGTGGCTGAAGGTCGGGTTATCGCTAAGAGCAGCAGCTCCTTGCTGCTGCAGCTGCTGCTGCCGGCTGCAGCGCAGCACCTCCTCCCCGCGAGGGTTTCCGTTGCTCGGCAGCTGTTTATAGGAGGAGACACGCGGGGGGGTACGGGCCTAAGGGCATCAGAGGGGCCCCCAGACAAAATGGTGGGGGGATCCCAACCCCCTAAAGGAGACTCCGAGGCCCTCTGGAACAGCTTGCAGCCAGGAGATCCCCTCAGCGTTGTAGTCTTAGGCGTGCAGCAGCAGCAGCAGCAGAGGCAACAGGAGCAGGGCTTCGGCAGGGCCCTAAAGAGGGGGGACCCCAGTCCGTTTGAGCTCGTCGTTCAACCGATATTAAATGCGCCTGTCTCCTCAGGCGTCTCCTCAGGTGTCCCCTCAGGTGTCCCCTCAGGTGTCTCCTCAGGTGTCTCCGCAGGTGTCTCCTCAGGCGTCAGTCCCCTCTGTTCGTTCTTTGCCCAGTCGTTGCAAAAGGAGAGGCCCCTGATGACGGAAGACGAACTCATGGATCGTCTGTAAGCTCAGGATACACCTCAAAGGAGACACCTTATTGGAGAGACACCACAGTAGAGAGGCACTAGAAGCTTAATAGGGGAACTCCGTGACAGAGAGACACTTTGAAGAGGACAGTCCAATGAAAGGACAGTGCGATAGAGAGACATTTCAATGTAGGAGACACCTTAATAAAGAGGATCTCGGGCGAAGGAGACACTAACAGAGACGGTTTAATAAGGAGACACTCTGACAGGGAGACACTCTAGAAGGGGGACAAACAAGGACAGAGGCGCACATCGAAAGACTCAGATGAGACACTTGTTGCCAGACACACAATGCCTACTGATTGCTGTCGAGCTGTCTGTACACCCAGATAGACAGACCTTGAATAGTGCTACAGAGGCCCTGTAGCAATAGAAGTCGCCCGCACAGTACACAGCAGCTTTCAACCTCAGCCCCAAAACCCGTTTGCACGTAAAAATATATAGAATATAAGCAGCTTATATATATGTGTATGTATATATGTGAATACACATACATACAGGAACTCTGCAGCTCGTCTATGCTGTTCTTACGCTTCTTCCTTGTTTCGTTTGCTGTTTATTCGCAACCAGGTTGCAGCAGGACGTGTCTTCTTGGGTTCACTTCCTGTCTCCTCCCAGTGCAACATGGGTGGTGCCTGCCATGCCCCGAGGTCTTGGGGGCCCTATGGGGACCCCTGTGGGAGGTTCATTTTCTGGGGGGCCCCTCTCTCGGCGGTCTCCGGGTGCTACCTCTGAGGTAAAGGCCCCTCCAAGCTTGCGAGCCCTTCGGTGCCGTCTTGTGGGGATCGTTCCCAGTAAAGAAGCTGCCGTTCTTGAGGTTGTTGCAGCAGACGAGGAGTGGCATGATGCGCTCAGCGGGGTAGGGCCCCCGGAGGGGCTCCCGGGGTCCCCCAAGGCCCCAGCAGAACCCTTGAGATCATCTGCAGACACCTCGAGGAAGAGCAAATCCTTCAAAGAGACGCATGCAACGGAAAGCTTCCATTGCAGCACCGCAACGCCCCCAAGAGACAGTCCCTGCCTTGGGGACGTCTTTGCATTCCAGCAAGCTGAGAGGGCCCTCAGGCTACAGCAGCAAACATCCCGAGATAGAATCCTTCAAGAAGAATTGCTGGTGCAGCAGGAAATGCTGCTGCGGAAGATGAACCCGAATGCGGTTGCGCAGCAGCTAGTGGCACTTGAGCGGCTGCTGTTGCAGCACCCCCAGCTGTATGCATATCATCAGCAGCTCTACAGCTACTCGCATGTCCCCCAACGGGACGCCATCGGGGCTTGGGTGCTGCTACCCCTTAAAGAACTCCTCACGTATAAGCGAATTCGAAAGGGTAAGAAGATTCTCCGTGCACACAGCCTACAGGTGCAGTTGCCGTTGCTGCTGCTAATGCTGTCGCTGCTACACATGCAGCAGCCGCTGCTGCTGCAGGCGGATCTATCGTTTCCCCGAAGGCTGTTGCTATTGCCACCGTTCTTGCTGCTGCTGCTGCTGGTCCTGCTGCTGCTGGTCGTGTTTGCTGATTTGGCTGCTGCTTTCGGGGTTTAGGGCGGCCGTGCCACGTCTCTGCTACAGGCTGTAGCGTTTTGCGCGTTTTTGTTTGCTTCAGACTGGGTAGTTGGGGGCCACCTGCGCGTATACTTTTCTGTCTTTGAGGGGTGCGAGGAGAGGCGGAGGAGGGCCATTGGGCATTCTGGGGCTGCGGCTGGGGGCGGCGATGAAGATTTAGGGTTTAGCAGCAAACCCTCACTTATCTGGACATCCATCTTCCCTGCTATTCCCCTAGAAACGGCTCATCTGTTGCTGCACGATATGCCTGCGGGGCCCCTCGCGCCTTTCCTCAAGCTCTTCGAGCAGCGGCAGCTTGTGCAGCAGCAGGAGGAGCACCAGCAGCTGCTGCAGCACATCCAAAGACACCACGAGGAACTCGCCAGGGAACGAGCCCTCCGCGAACGGGAGAAGCAGCAGGACCAGCAGGAGGAGGAAGAGGAGACGGGAGCAGAGGCTGATGGGGCACCCAAAGACCGTCGGATGCAGCAGAAGCAGCAGCAGAGCCACGCCGGTCCTCACCCTGCTATTGGTCGCAACAGCAGCAGAAACAGCAGTAGCAGCAGTAGCAGCAGCGGGGCTAGCAGTGGTGGCAACAGAGATAGCGGCCGAGGCAGCCCGCAGCAGCCGCGGAAGCTGCAGGAGCTGCAGCAGGTGCTGCAGCGCATCCCTGTGAAGCCTCTGTGGTGGGGGAGAGGCGATTGGGTGTATCGAGAGGTTCGACTGTGCCAGGTATTGGGGCCTTATTTCTACCGCCAACTTCTTAAAGTGAGAGCAGAAGAAGAAAAAAGGACATCTCAAGGAGAAAGGCGTCAAGATGTACTTGATATACGAGGCGAACCCTTCGAAGACCTTACTAGTCAGTGGCCTTTTTACGCGTGCATGCACGCATGCATGCACACATGCTTTGGCAAATACGCTGCTTCTTTCTTCGTATTTTCGCTGGCTGAAAGTCCATGCCGCTGTATTCTTTCGTTTTTGCATCTTCGTGATTCCGCTGTATAGGGAGCTGATGAGTGCATTTAGACTTGCGGTGTTCTTTTTCCATCAAACTGCTCGTTTGTTTCCTGTTTTCGTTGTTTGTTTGTTCACTTGCCGTTTGTCTGCCTGTTTGCTACCCTCTCATGCGTTTGCTTGTTTGTTTGTTGTTTGTTGGCGTGTTCGCTGGCCAGTTTGCCACTTGTTGGTTGGTTAGACGGACATTTACTTGCCTTTTTTACTTGTCGTTTGTTCGCTCGTCAGTTTTTATCTCGTTTGGTTGTAAAATTGTCTTCTCTTTGTTTATTTCCGCCTTTGGCGAGCTTGCCATTGGTTTGGTTGCTTGATATTGTCATTCATTTGTTCGTTTGTTTCCTTGTTTGCCTGTTTCCTTGTTGTTCGTCATTCGAGGGCTAGTTCGCCGTTTGTTTGTTTGTTTCTCTGGTTCTTTGTTTGTAATGCGTTAGTTAGTTAGTCTGTTTGCTTCTCCTCTGTTCACGCGCTTGCTTGCTGGTTTATCCTTCGTTTGTTTTTCTGTTTGTTAGTTTCTCACTTGCTTTTCGCAAATTTGCCACTTGTACGTTAACTCGTTGATGTTTTTCTAACTGGTTAGTTCTTTACTTATTTGTTTGCATGCTTGCTATTTTCTTGCTTGCCAGTGTGTCACTGGGTTGTTTGCCAGATTGTCGTTCGTTCATTTGCTTGTTTGTTTTTTGCCTGTCCGTATGTTTATTTTCAGTTGTGTGCCTATTAGTCATTTACTTGCTTGCTGTTTGTTGGTTCTTCTTTTGTTTGCTAGTTTATCGTTTGTTCGTTTGATCGCTTATAGTTTTCCTGAGTTTGTCTTTTTTGCGTGCGCGTGCGCCATTTGTTGTATGTTTGCTTGTCATTGGCTTCTTCGCTTGTTTCTCGTTTTCTGTTTGTTTGGCATACGTTTCCTCGTTGCTTTTTATCGGTTGTCTGTCTGTTTGGTTGTCGTTTGCCTGTTGGCTGGTTTTCCTTTTGCTGGTCTTTTAGTTCGCGATTTAGGTGTTAATTTGTGGTTTGTTTGTTTGTTTGCTTTTCTAGTTTTGTGCGCTAGTTTGTCGCTCATGCCTTCTTTTGTTCGCTATATGTTTGTTTGTTTGTTTTTCACTCGTCTGTTTGTTTGCCATATGTCTGTCTGTCTGTTCGTCATTTGTTTGTTGTTTCCCTACGTGTTCGTTTGCTAGTTGGGCATTTGGTCGTTGCTTTCAGATTGGCTGTCTACGCCTGAAGGCCGCCAACGGCTCCAGCCTTCTTTTGTGCGGCGCTACCTCAATGCACTGCGTTGGACGCTGCGAATAGTGCGGCCTGAGGACTTCTGCAAGGTGAGCATTGCTGGTTTTTCGTTCTTTTTCTTGCTCATCCCTTCCTTATTTGCGTTCAGTCTTTTTATATCTCCCCGTGTTAGGGCTTCCGTCCCTTCTTTTACCATTAATTCAGCTTCATGGTCTTGCTTGTAAATCTATTCGTCGCACTTCCTACATATCTTCAAGATCAAATGCAGCAAAAAGCGATGGTGGACGGCTTGCATGGAGGCGCAAGGCTACTGACGTGTCCAATGCGGTTGTGATGCCAGACGGCTTCAAGCTTGCATGTTTTTCTGTTTGCCTGGTTAATTGATTTGCCTAGTGTGCGTTCTCGAATCCAGCAAGGCAAGATGCCTCATTGCAGCACAGCACTACAAGGGCAGCGACGATGCGGTTATTGTATCAACTGTCGTGCGTGTTGCGTGCTGTGTGCTGAAGGCGTTCAAATGCTTTACAACGAAGAACGCAGCCGAGTCTCAGGAGGCCATAGCCAAACGCATTGCTGCATCAGACGTCACAGAGGAGGCAAAGAGTCTTTTGCACAGTTTTCTCCCACTACGTCAAAAAATTCTCCGCACCATAGCCAAGCAAGCCGCTGGTTCTGCTGTTGGTACTGCTGTTGCTGGAGAGGAGATGCAGCAGCAAGCCGCTCATGAAGGCAGCAAGCTATCGGCGGAAGACCTTGCAGACTCTGCTGCGGCGCATGTGCCCCCTGTTATCTCCCCGTTGATGCAACTGATCCGGATGCATAGTTACCTCAGACTTCAGCTGCGCCCGCAGCAACGGGCGCCTTCGCTGGCGGAGTGGCAACGGCAGCAGCAGCAGCGGATTGCCCAGCGGAAGTCCCCCCACAAAACCAATTCTGCTGTCCCGCATGCAACAGACGAAGACCCGACGAACGTAAGCATGCATGCATGTAAACTTATATGGACGTACTTGGACAGAGACATGCTGCATGCATCGGCTGTCTGCTGAACTGCGCTTTCTTCTTCCGCGCTAGTGGCACAGTTTGGGTTTCTCCGCCTCCTTGCAGTACTGCCTCATTGTGTTTTCCTTCATTGTTGCTTACCAGTAAGTACAGTGCTTGCACTGTGTTTATGCATCGCTGTAACGCCGACCGCTTGCTGTTTTGCAGCAGGCTACGCCGGAGCTGCCGCTGACGCAGCTGCAGATGGGAGGACACGACGAGTATGACAGCGTTAACAAGCTGGCAGATGAAGTCGAACAGCAGCTGATAGATTTCCGCCAAGAGGAGGCTTCAGGGGCTGCGGATGCGATTGGATCGGGCTCTGGCGCTGCTCTCACACCCCGGCTTAATAGCGCATATCCCTCAGCAGCCATTCGAAAGCCACGGAGTTTCTACAACTACTTTGGAGATGATACGACTCCCTTGCTTGAAACTGATGCGGATGAAGTCTTGTCCCGGTTTGCCGGGGGTTCTTGCGCCTCGACCGAGCATGAGCTCTTCGTTCCACTGGAGCTAGACAACCAATCCGCTCCATCCTTCCCTGATTCCTTTTTAAAATATAAACCCTAGACTTTGTATCCTCTTAAGCCGCTGATAGACAAAAGACGTTACCGCCGACGGTCGAAGCAGCAGACAGAAACGTACAAGCTTTTCAGATTCTAAAACCTCATGCAGTAGGTTTGTCGCGGCCGACGCCAGTTATAGATGCAGAAAACTAGCAGCGTGCAGAAGCCTGAACCAATATTTGTCAGGGAGTTGTTCGTGGTTTCGCCGTACCTCTGTACCTATGTTCTTTTCCCGGTTCCAAAAGACGTGCCTCCCAGACTTACTCGCTGAAACTCAAACTGAGCCATTCTGTGCGAACGAAAAACCCGAAAATATATGCATTATACATGAGTATAATATATATATATATATATATGAATACATGCATACATGTAATGACCCCGCCTACCTTGGAAACCGTCGTCGATTCATGTCTATACATTCACGCTACGAATAGTCCGTTTTCGTGTACCTCAGGCTGCATGTTGTGCACCAAACTATACAGCATCTCGCTAGCTCAAGGTAGTGTCCAGCGTCATATGTTACATTTTGGCCCCAAGTATCACCACGTACACTGTCCACTATCTTCATCGTTCCTTGTCATACTGCAAAACACTGTCCACCCTCTGCATAACATAGCATAGCGTAATTTGCAGTTCCTGGAAGCATTACTGAAAGCATCCTACTGCTTTTGAATGGACAGTGGTGGCGATCCAATGCCTCCTAATATACCGTCGAACAACTCTTTGGATGGATGGGAAGATGCAGTTTCCGTTCATCCAAGTTACACGCTACAACGGGCGTAAAGCCCGCCAACTTTCTGTAAGCCCTTGACAGTCAAACCACAAACTTCGTCTGCTCCCTCATTCTATATTGGTTGCTGTTATTTATTAATGCATCAAGCGACTTTCGGCAAAGGTATTGCTGCCCCCTGCCAGTCTTTTCACCTACTCTGCATCCAAGTTCCTGAATCGAGCACTCCGTTTTGTGCCTCTAGTTAACTGTATCGTTTGTCTCTCCAAATGTTTTGCCTTCCCCTAGCACCCTTAACACAGGCTGTGACGAGAAGCCTCGATCTTCGCCAAGGACCGTGGTGAGCCGCAATGAAATTAGAGTCAAAAGACTTAGTGCAAGAGTTCCTAAAAGCAGCTTTCGGCCTTCAGGCCTCCTCAGCGCAGCGGTTCGAGTGGCTGGGGATGGTAGGAAGGGGAGCCGGCCCACCATGAGCTGCAACACAACCTGCTGGAACTGCTGCTGCAGTGAGGCAACCCCAGATGCAGGAGCCCCAAAGCTCGTATTGAGGTGTGCAGTAAAATTGTAAACAATTGTATTACTCTCACTTGGCCACCACTATTCACTTAGACAGGAGACTGCTGCCACGAAAAGCTACAGAAAGATGAAAAAACAAGAGACTGGCGGAAAGAAAAAAAGTCAAATACAACAGAGCTTCTTGGTCTCTATCCGTTTCTTGCTACGTCTCTATTCCTGTCACTGACTCCCAACAGTAATCAGACGCATGCGAGATACCGTCAGCCTGCAGCCCAGGCTTTGTTCTACAAGCTGCAGGGCTCCTGCAACAGTGATCGGCCTCTGTGGTTGACTGCTTTTTTCTCCATTGCTGCTGTTGCCGCCGCTGTTCGTTGCTGCCTCTGGCTGCGCGTGCGGTATAACGTCGGTTTGCAGTTGCTTCATCATCAGAAACTCCTGAAAAAGAAGGCACTGCTCCTCCAGCCACCTCTGCATTCGTTGCGCAGCAATTTTTGAGAAGGCTGTTTCCTTGGTTCCTGGGGGAGACGGATCCTTTGGTCCTGTGGCGCTCTTGGTTCCTGCTGCTGCAGCAGCAGCTGCTGCTGCAGTTGCCTCTTCGGCAATTGAGCGCTCTTCCTCTATAACGGAACTTGGCATGGAGTCCAGGTCAACGAACTTTGGACGCGTCGCAAGAACCTGCATGGCCATAAGCCTTGCAAATTTAGACAGCCGCTCACGCAGGGCTGTCGCGTGTGTTGCGGACGTATCAGGTTGAGCCCAACGAAGCTCCACTAAAGCAGCTGCACTTCCAACACCTGAGCCTGGCGTGACTTCGTTGTGTACGTACACACCAACACAGGACGATGCGCCGCTTTCAATGCACTCCACCGCGGAAACTTCGACCTTCTCCCCGAATTGCGTCGTCAAATCCGCAAGCAATTCACTGACGGAACTCGCTGAAGCTGTAGTGGAGTCCATTTGAACGCACATTGAAAGTCTCTTTGAAGGTATTGAGTTCTTCACATGCGTAACGAGGTCACTCTGAGAGGCCTCTGATGTGGTGGTGGCAGTAGACCGCAAAGTTGAACAGCAATGCTCGGCAAGGGCGCCAGCAAAAGCAACAAACTTCGGGTTTTTTTGCACGAAATCTGTTTCGCAGTTCAATACAACTGCAGAATATTGAGTTCCGTCAGCTGAGCTACAGACAGCAATGACGCCTTCACGAGCTTCGCGACTGGCAGCTTTGGCTGCACGGGCGATGCCACTCTTCCTTAGATATACCACAGCTTCTTCCTCATCCTGCATCACGGGGAAGCAAACAGCCACTTGTAAAGTGTAACAATTACGAAAATCCAGATTGAAACGGACCCGGGCGTCAACATCCAGTCACATGTACGAGTAGATGTGCAGCTGGAGAAAGGAAAAAATGAGAAAAAACTCACCCAATTCGACTCCTCCAGCGCCCGTTTACACAGGCCCATACTGACAGATGTGCGCTCCCTAAGTTGTTTCACAAGTGTCTTGGCATTTGGGGGAGTCCTTTTGCTACCTGTATCTGCTGCGCTATCTTCGGCCCTGCCGGTCCTTACTCCTGCTGTGATGCATCTCATCTGCTGTGAGCTTGAAGAGGATATGCCGGCAAAGCTGCACTCATTACTTAGCAATAAATATGCTCTTGGAAAAGAAAACGAACAACAAGACCTCCACTCCGCCCATCGAGTATGCATCGATGGCCGCAGCGCCGGTGAGAGGCGGGAAGTTGTAACTAGACCCCACAATGAAAAGCTGGGCTTCATCATTTTGTCTATTTATATATAGAAATATATCTAACCTCAGGAAGAGTGGGGTGCAGATAACCACCGTAGGGTACGGCAGCCGACTTAACGGTCCTCCATGGGCCCCCTATTGGGACAGGTCCCTGCCGAGGTCGCACTACTTGCATTCCTCATCGACTCCGATGTTCGCTTTAAATTAGTGTTCTAGTTGCACGTTTAAACTCATTAAAACAATTACTGCCTGCCGGCTGTCCCAAGTAACGGCCTTGCCGCCCATCGACTGTAGGCGGCTAGAAGCGTGATAACTGTTATGTGCTCCCACTAAAGTCTCGAATGAAGCGAAGACCAGCTCTGCGACCCTTTATATCGTGCACGAGGGTGCTAACATCTAGTCTACTCTGACAACGTGGTAAGGGCCATTCGCAACCTCAACTCAACGGCGACCCCACAAACGGAGTTCTGCCTTGTGCCTGTGAAAAATCAAGGGGACGGACTGAGAGACGGTGAATGCGCGGGGTATTATTCAGTAAAAGTTAAATAAGGTGGTGTTAAATTTGCAGGGCAGGCTCCGAAACCCATAAAAAATGGTTATGGGAAGACGCTTCCCAGCCACCTCGGGAAGCCGTCGCACTCGGGTGTACTAACAGCGTGCACTGTATTTGTAAATTTAGTGGTCACCCCCTCCCTGCAGAATGTACGTAATGCCGCAGCGGCCGCAGTAGTTGCGGTTTTCGTGCTGGGCCATGAAGACGCCGCTGCCGCAGGTCTTGGATGGGCATTCCTTGCGCAGCCGGGTCACGTTGTTGTTGTCATCGACTTTGTAGAACTTCAGCACCGCAAGTTTCACCTTCTTGTTCTTGTGCTTTTGTTTCTTAGGTTTGGTGTAGGTCTTTCTCTTGCGCTTCTTGCCAGCACCAAGCAGCTCCAGGCTTTGGAAGAGAGTCGACTCCTATTCATCAAATAAAATACCCCACAAAAAGAACACCCACTCTCCTCAGGTCCGCCCAAATGCACTTAACTGAACCATCTAAAGCTATATATCATGATGTATAGAAGTATATAAATATATATATATATATATGCGGGGTAAGGACACAACGAAGCAGTGACATATATCAAATCCGGCGCACGAGCCGGCTACAAAGCTACACACTAATCACAGCACTTCACGAACAATTAAACATTGGCGGCCTCAACAACTTCCCTTTTCTTCAGACAAACTAGCGAAAAAAAACATCTCCTCATGGTCAGATGTCCCTATCTGATATGTCATCATTGAAGGGCATTGCAGAGGCCGCCCTCGACGCTCACTATTCACAAAGTAACGGAACAGACACCTTATTCACATACGCCACTCGACTAATAACGAACGAAAAATGCCCATATCAAGGCAGTGTCTTTTTTTCAGACAAACTAGCGAATAAAAGATGTTTCCTCATTGTCAGATGTCCCTATCTGAGATGTCATCATTCAAAAGACACTGCCAAGAATGCACCACGTCAACTAAGGATCTTCATCAACTGCGGCACAGCGACTGCGCCTGAAGTGGCAAGCACGTATATGATGCACGCCACGCACAAATCGGAACGGAACGAAATGCGCGAAATAAATCTGAATAGACGTAAGAAACAAGCTGTCTTGCCTACCTCTTCGACACCCGCCTCTCCCAAAGTCACGGCATCATCAATAGCAGAGACTCCGAAGAAAAGGCGCTGCACCGATGCAGCAACACCTGCGGCACCAACAAAACCACACATGCCCCTTAGCTCATCGTACCGACTCTCAAACAGCACATACGCGGTGATCCGAAGGGTACACGCGCGCTAGGGCACCATTTCTTGGAAGAATCCAAGCACCACTTCCACACGAAGGATCGTCTGAAGCCAGTAACTACGACGTTCGTTAATCCCACAATGGGGAGAGTCCAGGAATCCCGCAAGTGCTCGTATGGGAACTGGGGAGTCCGTTGCCGAAGCAAAAAGGTAGATTCACTTTTCTTTTGCAGAAAATTCAAAAACGGAACATAAATCACACGAGTTGTACGTTTTGCTTCGGCAGCTTAGGTAGATGCACATTGCCCCCCACAGGACTGGAGCAGAGCTGCTGGGGCGTTGTGGAGACGTTTCGTGGTGTCAGTCCACTTAGATGCAATATAATATGCGAGTAGAAAAATGCAATAACAAACAAGAAGTCGGAAAACTATCGCCACGACGTACCTAATCGCGCCTCCAAGTGCTGCTTGAGCTCGAGCACCGTCGAGGTGGCCGACACCTCGACGGGGAGAGATTCCCCCGCATATGATTGTACGAAAATTTGCATTATGACGCACGACAGGGAAATATAATACTCAAAGCCCTCTCGCCATCATCATTCGCCTTAAATTCCAATATTCGGCACACAAACTTGCGGGGCTCCCCTACCCAGGACCCCGCAGGCGCTCAGCGGCCACGGCCACAGCTCCGAGTTTCTGCATGTGCATGCACATTGCATGCATCGGTACTTTTTTGGCTGTTCCTTCACTGAAATGCTTTAAATTTTCAGTGACCTAAGGATTTAGCGTGTTTCGTATTTTCAACGCATCATTGGGGAACTGGTACAGGGGACAGTTGTGATTTCCCTGCACTAGAATGCTGCATACAAGCGTCCTGTCTGTTGTTGGTAAGTGCACTTCTACTCACGAACCGGTTTAGTACCAAGGGCCAGGCTAGTTTTTATCAATCATCTACAATGTAAGTGCTTGCAGTAAGAGGTAGCCTGCATACGCGTGCATGTGGGGCTGCCTTGCAGCAGGTGCAGCTGCCTGCTGTGATTGAGGCGAGGGTTCTCGATCTTAGCAGAGGAGGGTGGTGCGCTACAATGAAATCTAAGACTTAGGACGAGAGTTTTCCAAAATGTAGTTGCATCCCCTCCAGCTGTAGGAGTCCTGGGCACACCAGTAAAAGGTCCTGGGTCTGGAGGGGAGAGGATGCGTCTCGTCATGCGTCGCAGCACAACGTGCAGCAACTAGTGCTGCAGGGAGAGCCAGCTTTCAAGCACAATCAGTGCCTTTTCGGTTGCATGCGCTAACACTGTACACGATTGCTAGGCACTTCCTTAGCGCCCAGTAGGCAGCGTGCACACAAGTAGAGATTGTTAAAACGTCAGACACCCGATCATGGGACGAAGGCCCCCCCCAGTTTCTTTATGGCTATCTCACCTATCTCACCAGCTCCGCCAATCAAACCTTCATGTTTCATGTTTTATGGTTGGCTCTCACTTTCAGGGCTGGCTGGATACCGCATACGCGGGCATTGATGCTGCGTCCATTTACAAGCCTTTCTTAACCTGAGAACAAGGAACAGAGCCCCTTAAATGGAAACTGGCAACTCCACTGCGCAGGTTTCCGCTCGGCGGTAGCAGGGGCGACAATAAACAGTAACGGTAGATTGCCCTCGCCTTCTTCCGCCCAGTCACCTGTTACATCCTTTTGTGCGTCCGCCGCTCTGGCCTCTCTAGTTTCTTTTGTTGCACAGCCAGGCAGAGAAGGTTGTCCTGTGCGGCAACAGGCGAGGCGGCAGTTACTGCATGGTCTACTAAATGCACCACACAAACGGCTAAGTGTTCAACGACTGTTTGTACCGCTACTACGTGAACCTAAGCTGGCTTGCGTATGCTGGCATGCTTGGTTGTCTAGCAGAAGAGCTGTAGACTGCGGTGGGCAAGCGCCTACGGCCGCTGCGCCGTTGCCCTTTGGATGCCTGGAGACTGGAAAGTAGGTTCTCAGACATTTAGAATGATATCTCTGTTGCAGCTCACGACTGACCTGGGCAGAGATCGAGGACTTGTTAAAGAAGGATGCTCAGCAATGAAGAGTGATTCAGAGAAAGACAAGATGATTAATCCTTGGGAGTACGGACAGACTGCTTGGTCCCCCACATACTTAAAGCTAGAAGTACTCCACTTGCTCTGAATACCGTGTAATGCCCACTTACGCTCGCTTGATCGGGTTGCATTAAGAGTAGAGTACTGGTCAGTACAGAACAGAGTATTGGCCCACAGCAGGTGGGTAAAGAGGAGCTAACCAGGATCTAGCGGCTTTCCAGGGATTGGAAAATTCAGTTTATCTCTGATTACATATAAAAATGCACCTCTTCAACTGAAGAAAAGCAGAGATTGAAGCCGAACACTTCGGCAGAGTCAGCGGCCTCGCGCGACTTCCACCCTGCGTATGGGCCCTTCCTGCAGCCAAAAACTCCCCTCTAGTTGTTTTTAATTATTTGTAAATGCACGTTATTAAGTAGGAGAGGTATTTCCTCTTATATTTTACGCTGCCCGTGGATGGGCACAGCCGACAGCGCGTTTCCGTGGGCGGCTCCTCTGCACACCCTGACCAGCGAGAAACCCACTGTGATATTTCCGTCAACCAAAGTTGTTCTTTACCCTTTTAAATGGTGCAAAATGAACATTGTCCGTAGGTATACATTCCGAGTATCTGATTGACAAAGTTCCCTCGGCGTTGTCTCGAGACAGATGAGTCGGGTGTCCTGAAGCGCCGCGGATCGAAGACTTGATGCCTTCTATAACTTCGAACTTGCAATGAAATCAACTTCCAACGATTCTATTCCGGAGATTCCGAGTATTCCTGATGGCTCTTTTCTTCCTCCTGGGGCTCTGGTTGTCAGCGGTTCGCAGATTCCTTGCGCTGGCTTGGGACTGTTCGCAGGGCAAGGTGAGAACACAGCCATTTTGCAGTAATAAGAGATTATCAAGCTACTGTTAGGCGGAGTACGTTCCTCTTGTGTGTCTAAACAAATACAATCGATTGCGGCAGCAAGTAGTTGGCAGTCGGTACAACTCCCAAGCAGGCGGTAGTTCCATGCGTCGACGTAGACGTTGCGGATTTCCCCGTTGTCGCATCCACAGGCATAAAGCGAGGAACGTGGATATGCGAATACATCGGCGACAAGAAAAGCCTGATGTGAGGCGTGGCTGATGCATGATTAAGCCGGTATTTTAATGGCCTGCGGAAGTGACCTACGAACCAGGCTCTCTGTGTTGACAAAGAACGTCCCCTATTTCCTGGTAATGGGACAGAAGAAAACAGAGCTTTCTACTGAATAGTCAGCGTTGCATGCAATTTGTAATCCACCATGCAAAGGAGGTAGATTCGTTGCGTGTCCGCAGACAAGTCATGCGCATGGATGATAGGCAATACGTGATGGGTACAGGGCACATAAACTGTCATATAGATGCCACGAACCATCCACAGGTCAGTGAGTCTGAACATTCCCGCAATTTCAAAAGGAAAAACTCAAAACTGCCAGAAGTGTCTGACTAGAGCAGCTCACTCTATACAAGATGTGCCCAGCCATGCGTCAGATGTATCTGCCCGTTTGGTACATATATTGCACCTTAGGTATTCGCAAGGTATGTCAATGACAACGGCAACAGAGACGATATCAACGCAGAATTCGTGAAAATAAAGCAACAGAGGTGCGTGGCCTACCGTAAATACAAATCCCTCACCATGCACGTCACAACCAGTGCAAGCGGCAAAAAGCCGTTGGTTTGGCTTCGGAAAGAAATTGCTGTCGATTTGTGCATTATTGCGCCCAGGCGCGTCTTGCTGCGAGCTACGAAGGATGTGGAGACGGGGTCAGAAATATACGCTTCATATGGAGAGGTGCTTTATCTGCAGCTAAGGGCTCTTTCAAGCTCATAGTGGAGAAGCTTTCTGCTTGTGCTCACAAGTAGCCTGCCTTTGTGTGTGTTTAGAAATTCGCAGGTATTCTGGAGAAATCGCCAACAGAGCATCCGCTCGACTCACGACAATGGCTAGTTCTTGTCTGTGCCAACTAGCGCTTATCTTCTACCAGAACTTATTGAGAAGAGAAGCAGCCCTCCTGCTGTTTGGTTTCACTTTCAAAATATTCTAACTTTCGTTTCATCAAAATATTCTAACTTTCGTTTTATCTGAAACACCGCCTCGAGAGGGGGCCACGAAGCACTAGGCACACACATGCTTACTGACAGCATAGAGGAGGCGTGTTTCAATCATATGGAAGCAAACAAACAAACTTTGACGCTTCTACGCATGCAAGCTTTATCGGCCTCACACTGAGGTATACGATGACAAATGGGTAGACGGGATATATCACGCCCTCTACAGAACGAAGTGGTGACAAATCGGGATATATACATGGCTCGAAGCAACTCTCGAGGCTCTTCCTTAAACTAATCGTCCTCTTCAGAAATGATTTCCGCTTCTGAAGACTCTTCAGAAGCCTCTTCAGAAGCATCGCTTTCCCCCTCACTCGACTCCGAGGAGTCGACAGTGTACTTCTTGGGCGCTTGAGCCGCTGCTCGGCGAGGCCTATTTGAAGCAATGGGAGATTCTTCTACACCCAAATCTGAATTTAAGAAGACAGCATATCGAAAGCCTACCTTGAGCTGAGCCTACCGGCGGGGAGTCCAAATAACCAGAACTCAATTCTAAATGGGACTTCGCCTGGCTTTGCTGCCGTGTACAGCTTGTGGCCTGCTAAGCCTTACATATGCTGCATATGTGACCCATGAAACACGTCTTTAAGCTCTTCTATACGGTTAAGATACGGAAAATACGGAGATTGAAGGGGGTGATGCAGGTGGGGGGACTATCTTACCTCCACCCTTGGATGAGTCTGATTCGTCATCGTCGCTTTTGGCTTTGCGTTTTTTTGGCGTTCCACGAGGCTTGGGCTTCTGTGGTGTCGATGGAGCTGATCGCTTCGGCGTGGAGGCCTTGGATCTGTTGGCAGACCTTGTCACTGAATCTGAATCATCAGAATCCACCAACACTCTCCGCCGTTTGGGTTTAGGGGGTGTTCTCGTGATTGCGGACTCTGTAGAATGGTCGGCAGAATCAGTCGCTGCGCTCGTTGGCACTGCAGACCCTTTTCTGAATGCATTCAAACCACACCTCATTTGTATACATATATATGCAGAACGGCATAGAAAGCTCTACTTTCAGCAGCGAAAGGCACATATGAATAGGCGGCCTCTGAACTGTTCGCCGCTTAGCGCGGTGTGGTCACTGCACTACTTACGAAGCTTCTGTCGTCTTCGAGGCGGCAGCCTGTGCAGGCGCTGGCGCGTCAGAGGGCTTAGCAGTGGTGCTAGTGGCGGGAGCAAAGATCTCGTCCAGGGTGAGTTGCTTGGTGCGGACAGGAGCTAATGAAGAAAAGGAGCTGCTTCCCCCAAGTCTTAGGCGGTCGAGGAGGGAGAGTGACTGGATAGGTGGTGCCTTTGGAGGTTCTGCAGGTTTTTCTTCCTTGTCCGCTGATAACTTGGGGGTTTCCTGTGATGCAAAGAAAGGCGGCAATCCTTGTGCATCCGTGCTGGCCGAGGTGGGATGTGAAGCGCTAGAGGGCTCCTCGAGGGGCTTCACTCCGTTTGTTTTCTTTTGTGCAGGTCTTGGACGCTTCTTTGAAGGCCGATCCTCTTCAGATGAATCGTCCGCAAAACTCATTTCTTCGGATGATTCGTCGCTATCCGCTGACGAGCTCACGGACTCCTCTTCTGAGCTGGAATGTGCCTGTGCATTTGCAGACAAAATCGACAGCGCCGCCACCAGTTTTCAATAAAATATGCACATGAACATGCAGACTGTACTAGCCCCTGATTTCAAACCAACGCCATGCCTATGCAAGAACTCAAAAGCTTCTCATCACAAAAATACCTTCTTGCGAGCCTTAGATGTCGACTTGGCACTCCCCACTTTAGGCGCTGCTTTGGGGACGCCTCCTTTGGCGCCTTTGGCTTTTCCCTTAAGAGCAGAGAAGCCCTTAAGACCTTTCTTGCTTTCCATCTGCCTGTGGAAGGCCAAGTCTGCTTCTCTTTGCTTCATGTCAGCCGCGTCCTAGAGATGGCCAACACAGGAAATGAACCAACAACGCAACACTCCAAAAGCGGTAAAAGACGACCAATCAACCTGCCTCAACCTTGCTAAACCCACGCCAGCTACTGCTTCTTCTGGTGCAGAATGGCTTATTCACAGTTTCCGCAGGAACGTTACGATGTACGACTGTTTCACGGGATATATCACCTGTTTCTCTATAGCTTCTAAAAGAGCATCCAAGTCCTTAAGCCACAGAGTCCGAATATCTGTTTGCCGCAGACTCTCCAATTCCACTTCCTTATCGCGGAGTTGTCGCTTCAACTCCTCCACCTGTGGCCAGCAAGCGAATCAGGAAACGAAGAAAATGTTTAGTGAACATTCCTGTTTACGGCTGTGGAATGGAAGCGTTCAACCTCCCTGCTGCACTAAGTAATAAAGCAAGCCAAAATCTGTACCGCAAAACTGTAAACCCTTTGGCAACTAAGAGGGTGCCTGCTCTACTGTAGACTCGATTAACGGACAACCCTCCACACCCTGAACCACAAGTCGCTTTTCGCAAGCTTTGCCCTATGCCTGCTATCCTATCCTCTTCCCACCACAGGCACCTGAAGTAAAGTGCATACTATACTTCATCATGCCTTACCCTTTCAGCTGTTAGACTCCACATCGGCATTCCGGCGAGGTAGTCAAAGTCCGCGCCGACACATCCGCAGGCGGACGGCGCTTCTTCGTCGACGCTTTCTTTGTCCTAAGCGCAAAAACAGAGAGCGAAGCTGGTTCGCATGTGCAAAATACACTTCACACAGACGGAGCTAATGCGGCAATCAGCGATGCTGAGCAGGAATGCTGTGAGACGACTCACAGATAATCCATGTTCCTGAGGTGTCTGGCGGTTCAAAATGCTCTCAATAAGGTTTGCGCATCTCTTCTCCAACTCGCGCATTGGGTCATACCCCTACGCCACCATCGCATATTCAGAGATGAAGACGTAACCATGTCTACGGGCCTCTCCACACAGGTTCACGGGCAAGATTCATTAAAAGAATGAATGCGGTTAGAAGCATCCCCCCAGAGTGTGAAGTTGTGGCTTGCGCCCAAGGACAACTCCACGCGACAGAATGTGACCGCTGCGGTTCGCCACAGCTGCTGCAGTGCTGCTTACCTTGACGAATAGTTCTTCTATCAAGGCTTGGCGTCGTTTGTTGCTCACAACCAACTCTCCCGAAAGGACAGATGTGATGAAGCGGACTCTGTTGTGCAGAATAGATTTCTCCTTCTCCGACACGGCGATGAGATACGCCTTACGTTTCTAAGACAGAAAACGAAAAATTGCTGAGGAAAAAACGGATTCCTAATATTCTCATCAAGACTTGACGGAGTGTGGTGCTCACATTACGCACGTCCTTCTGCTTGGAAGCTCGGGAAACACAAAATCGACTAACCTCGTAGAAGGTCAAACGAATGGCAGCAAAGTCTTTCATGATCTCCAGCTCATCAGCGTACTTCTGAACCTTCCCCTCAGCGTTGAAAAGGTGATAGTTTTGTGTGCTTAGAGAAGACTTGAGGCGGAAGAGTTTCACCAAAGCTTCGTTATCAGCGCCTTCAAGCTTTTCTAAGGGGAAACAGAACAGCACAGACGTAACTCTAGACAGCACATCGTCAGCAACAATTCCTTCACTGCAGAAAACGCCTTGCCGTGAAGGCAGCCAGTCTACTGAAGCTTAACAACGTGCAAAAGCGCTAGGTGAGTTCGTGGTGACAATAATGCGACGGTCGGTAAACACACAGTGGCGCCGACAGCCACATGTGCAGTTTAGGCCTCCCACCAAGAACTGAACGCGGAAGGTGTTTTCTTTACCTGCTGAAAGCTTGACAACAAATTTGATATCTTCGTGGCTGCTGCTGTCTCTGTAGTCTGATATCCAGGGGTCTTTCTTGTCGGGAGTTGGGAGCTGCTCTTCAAGCCACTCTTTGTAGTCCTGAAGCAAAGCCCTAGATGCACATTTACCGCCGCTGATAGCCCGATACGGACTGCTGGTTGGTGCCCAAACGGCAGCAGCGTTGAGTCGAAATGCTCTTTGAAATCTCGTCTACCTGAAGCTACCAATAATGTGCAGAAGGACTGTTTTCTTGCTGCTTACCTGTGTCCACCGTTTGATCGGAAGCTCGCTTATCTCCACAACATCTTCCCCTGTTTTCTCGATAAGGCCTATGGTCTCAAATGCCGTCTTAGTTGCGTTTTCCTCAATAAGGCCTTTGAATCCCCTGTACCAGGGCTTCATTCGAACCATTTCTTCCCCCGCAATGAATCTGCAATCCACACAGGCCAACGTACAATACAGCAGCGACAGTCCCCTCAACTGCTTATCTGCGCAGACGTGACAGAAAATGTTTCTCTACGGAATTGGATATGCACTCCGTTCTATTGCGGCATGCAGAACTGACCTTTTTAGGTTGGCAATGATGTCTCTAGGATTGAAGTTGGGAATAAACGAAGACCATCCTGTGCCGATTCCTTCACTGCCATTGACAAGTATAGTTGGGATGACCGGTACATAATACTTGGGTTCAATTTTCTGTCCCTCTTCATAAAGGTATTCGAGTAGGGGGTCATCTGCCTCAGGGAAGACAAGCCGGGTGTACGGCGCAAGCTTGGTAAAGATGTAACGGGGGGCGGAGGCATCTTTTCCTCCTTCCTTCCGAGAGCCAAACTGTCCTACGGGCTCAAGGAAGTTAAGGTTGTTGCTGCCTACGAACCGCTGAGCCATGGTGATAATGGTTTGCTGCAAAGACTGCTCGCCGTGGTGGTAGGCACTCTGCTCCGCTACGTAGCCCGAAAGCTGTGCAACTTTCATCTCGGCCTTCGTGTTTTTTTTGAAGACTGCAAACAGCACTTTGCGTTGCCCGACTTTCCATCCGTCTACAAGTTGTGGAATAGAACGTTCATTGTCGTATCGCGAAAACTGAACCAGCTCCTTATTTACGAAATCAGAAAATGTCAGTTCTCGCATAGAATGGTCAACGAATGTTCCTTCTCTGTAGCCCTGCAGCCAGCGCTTTCTGTCTTCTGCCCGCTTCTTGCTAAACGCCATGTCAATCAGCTCCCCATCACCACTGCCTGAGGCAAAATAGCGCACTCAGAATAAACGCACGAACGCAATGCCTAGATACAGGCAGTACCGGCGAATCAAGCGCAGACTCCGACGGATATGTTATACAACATCAGACGTCACCCACCTGCTACGGACAGAAAGCACGCAACAAAGGGGTTAAGGAACAACCAGCTGATACACATTGCAAGGGTTAACTCGCCTGTCCATCGGAACCTGATTCGGTGTTTATCAAGAGCCTGAAAATAATCCTTGAACTCCCTATCTGTCGAGGTACCCAGACCCTGCAGCCATTCAACAAGACACATGAGCCATAAGCTATTGCATTTACATGCCGCCCTCTTTTTAGAATGCTTTATGGGTGCACGGTGATTTGAGCTGCCTGCTTTGCATTGTTTCACATGTGGGCATCACTGACTTTGTAGTACTTTATTTTCCAGCCGGCAAGATTGCCCTGTTGCTTCCTCCACATGTCGTATTCGACAAGGGTGAAAAATGCCTTTTCAACGGATCCCTTTGAAACCTACGGACAAAGCGAGTTAAGCAATGCCCAAAAGATGGCTAATTGCTAAGGACGAACACTTGGACTCGCCAGAAAATACGCTTGCTTCCATAGGAAGCAGGTGCCAACAAATAAGAGCTCACTTTGACAATAGGAGTTACGAACTCCGTCAAAAAATGGTTGCATTGCAGCAACTGAGGCCAGTAGTGATGCAGCATATTGATCAACAGCCCCTTAATGTGCGATCCATCGTAGTCCTGCACGCAGGGCCCGCCAAAACGCCTTCCCAACTGAAATTCCCCTAACATGGAGGACAATATCGAATACACATGTTTCGTTCTGAACAAGAAACAACAAAATACTCACTTGATCCGTCATAATCATCAATGAACCATAGCGCAGACCCCGTGTGTCTTGCACTTTGTCGTTAATCTGAAGCCCTAAGATTCTCAATATGTTTTGGATTTCGCGGTTTTCTTTCAACTGCTTGAACGATGCTTCCCGCACGTTCAGAAGCTTTCCCTGATATCACACACACACACGCACACACGCACACACACACACACACACACACACACACACACACACACCTCATACACGCACATACCACCTTAACCAAACCACCTCAGATCGAACTGTTCGAAACATCTCGAAACATGGTGCACATCAATGAACACGATATAGTGCAGAAATACTAGCGGACTCTACGCAAGAAAGTCCTTTCCCATATTCCCCCTACTCACGCGAAGCTGGGAACGCAAACAAACAAGCCTACCCTAGCCTAAACAAGAAAGCGACCAACCCGAAAACACATCACAGTACCCAATGAGACCCACCCTCAAAGGAAACACGCCGTACTTCTCCCGCCCCACAACGGACAGCCCCGCAAGGCAAGACGTTTTGGCACTGTCACCTTCAGTCAAGATCAGCGTGCATTCCTGGGCATAGCGGCCGCCTGCGAAGCAGAAACAAGCGAGGAATGAGATAACACGGAAAGTGCACCTCTTCTGCTCGACTTCCGTCTCGTGCTCACTATACGCAGCTGCATCAGTAACAGGAAAAGCGAATGCAGATGGTGAAAGCCGACGGGCAATCGCAGCGTTTTGCACAGTACGCACAACTGGTAAACTAGCACGGTGAGTTCCACTGAGCGCCAACCAAGATCACCCTACCACCTCAAGGGGACGGTTTCTCCTACGCATGCATGCACGTTCGGTTTGAATTATATTCGGTGGAAGAGGTTACAACACCAACAGCAGGTATGCAAGGGTAGAACAGAAAGGGAGGCGGAGGCTGCATGTACCCGCTTCGTTTGCATCCTCCAGCTTGGAGATGCCTGTCAACCGTTCTCTGCCCTTGGTCTTTCCCACGGACATTTGCCGTCTCAGTTCGACCTAGAGAGCACACGCATCTACAGTTGATTGGCGAAATGCACTGGAAGCAACAGAATCAAAACCAAAGCGAGCCACAGACCGTTGTTGCTACGCAATATCCCGTTCCGCTAGATCGCTAGCCGCCTGCAACAAGACAGCTGGCTATCCAACACCCCCGTCTCGCAAAACATGACAACCATGGACAGTGGTAGAGTACTTTTCTGTATAGAAAAAGCTAGCGGTTAGACTCCGCCGCCCGCATACCTGCGCCTTCGTTTGCGCCCATAAGAGCACTCCCTCCAAGATGGGAGATTTGGCGACAGCGTTAATTGTCCTCTCCGAGAGAGTGCATTTGCTGCCGAAACGGGAAACTGTGGTGGTCAAAGTTTCCTTAGTCTGGGAATCGAACGCGGGGTTCTCAATGAGGCACTTAACGAACACCCACAGGTGTTGCCTGAAAAACACAAAATGGCAGAGCTGCACCAAGCACGCGTGCGCGGCCTGCCAGCTAGCTGCAGGCGCCCAGAGCACTGAGTTGCATATATATGCTGGCTTAAACTGTCCGTGCCCTGCTGCAGGAAGCGACAAGAGGCATACTTGACGTGGGGCGCTTTAATCTCCATGCCTCCTTTGTTTTTGGCGTTTGCCTTCTTCACCAGCGCCGCCAAAAGAGGTTCGATGACGTGGGTCACGTGGTGGCCGCCCTTCGTCGTGCAGATGCTGTTAACGAATGACACCTGGGAAAACGAGCTGCCGTCTGAAAATACACCAAAACAGTACTCAGAGAAATTCAGTAACAAACACAACGCAAAGCCCAACAACGGCATGTCTGTCTGCATCCCTGTGTCTGTCTCCATCCTGTAACTCTGTTCCGTGACTTGTAACAGTCTCCGTCTGTAATTCAGTTTGTGTTTGTCTGTGTGCCTCTTTAATAATGGTCTGCCTTTGGTGGGCCTCTCATCTAACCTGTTTGGCTGATGACAACTTCCCATCGGTGCATTTTCTCGTGTATCTTTATGATTTGTTTTTCGGGTGGCGTTTCATTTTCTTTGTCTTCGTCTTCTTTTGGTTCTGTTCCATTTTCTTTCTCCCCTTCCTCTGCCTCGGAGTCGTCGCTGCTGTCATCGTCAGATCCTTTCTTTTTGCTCTTTTTTTTGCCTTTCTCTTTGCCCTTGCCCCGCTTTTTCCCTGCCCCCTCCCCTAAGTACAAGTCCACATAATCCACGAAACTCCGCACTGGCAGCCGCGTCCCGTTCCAATATACCGCTGTCCCTGCAGTTCCTGCCAAGTCGAAGCATCGCTTGCGCAGCAGCGAGACCAGGTCGTCATCAAGCCTGCATAGACACCCACCATCCTAACAAGTGTATGAACAAAACTGTCTACGAAATACTAAAGAATAAGCAATACGCATTTAACTCTGCAGAAAAACAGTACACCTCAGGCGTTCACCCCTCGCCCCTCAGCTGTGAAACCCTTACAGCAACAGACAAGAGGCCGCTCTCCTAAACCCCATATTCAGTATAGATAAAGACATAAGCGACAGGCTACAGTGTGGCGTCGCAGCAAACATCTGGCTGGTGCATGCAGGAGAGAGAGTTAAACGACAGAAGGAATCAACACAAGAAGCCCCAAACCCTAAACCCTGAGGCCTTACGCAGACATCCCGAAACGGCGGAGATCCGGTTTGAATTTCACAGAGACGAAGTCGCCAGCTCCATTGAAAGGCGTTATAACTGGAGGCTCTTGCTTGCTCATGTTGTCTGTCCATACAACTTTTATCTTCCTAAATAACACAAAGTACACGCCACAAAGCGTCTCTGCACGGAATATATACTAACGAAGATCCATATAAAACCGAATGAATGCTACACGGCTGTAATAGTTGCTTCCCACTGTACCCATTTTACATAAGAAAAACTACAACTAAAAGTAGAGACATAGACAGACGCAGACAGCCAGAGAGGGAGCCACAGGAGAATAGAGACAGAATGAGAGTAAAACAAAAATACAAGCATGCAGGTAAGAGGAGACAAAGAAAAACGCGGAGTATAAAAGAACCGAGCGACAGAAAGGAAACCAAAGCCCAGGACTCAGAAGAGGTCCCAAGGTGAAAGAGACAGAGACACAAGACTACAACGGAATAACGACGGAGACACCCGAAACTTGATGTATGAGGCAACAGTTTTGTGTGTGCAATTCTTAAGGGACTCCATTTCCTATGCCGCATGCAAACATAACAGCGAAGGCCCCTGCTGACTGACTGTTTGCGTTTGCTGTCTGCACATTCAACTTCAAAATGAGATGAAAAAATGTTGGTGAGCTTCGCTCCGAAGCCGTTGCGGCCTCCTGTGACGCGCGCCTCAGTGTCGTCGTAGTTGTCGCTAGTTAGCAGCTGGCCGAAGATCAGTTCAGCCACGTACACCTTATGTTCCTTGTGAATTGCCACGGGGATACCTGCATGCAAACACGCACGCATGCATGCATGCATGCATGGAAACACGCATGCACGCATGCAGGAATGAGAACATGGAAGCAAGCCCAGCAGCAGCAGCAGCATCGGATGAATGCTGCAACTCCCGTGCTGCAGTGGCCTTCTGCTTGTAGCTGCCAGTCTCTATCACAAGGAGCCGCCTCTACATCTACACCTTTTTCTGTTGAGTGTGTAGTTCCAGCTGCACAGACAGCTGACTGCACATGCAAGATGCAGCAGCAGAGGTGCATGCAACGCCGACCAACACGACACCCGTTCCCTCCTCAGCAGCAGCCGCAGCAGCACCCCAGCACACCGCGCGCATGCATATACTTCATACCCGAATACATCATACGGGAAAGAATCAATCAACCCATTCATTATAAAACCAAAACTGACAACCTCTAGGGAAGAGCTGCATGAAAAGAGGAGCGAACGGGATTGTCATCCACAACCCGCGTTATATATATATAGTGTATGCAAGCATGCATTCATACACGCATACGTACATACATACATGCATATATAGCGACGCACATACATACATATATGCATACCCATGTACATACCCATATATATATATATATATATATAT